ACTGAAGGACTTTTAAAAGGGAAGTAATCAACATACCTCCAGAGTGGCTCAAATGAAAAAAATTGAAAATATCCAGTGGTGGCCAGGCACAGTGGCTCATGCCTGTAATCCCAGTACTTTGGGAGGTGGAGGTGGGCTGATCACCTGAGGACAGGGGTTCGAGACCAGCCTGGCCAACATGATGAAACCCTGTCTCTACTGAAGATACAAAGATTAGCTGGGCATGGTGGTGGGAGCCTGTAATCCCAGCTACTGGGGAGGCTGAAGCAGGAGAATCATTTGAACCTGAAAGGTGGAGGCTGCAGTGAGCTGAGATTGTGTCATTGCACTCCAGCCTGAGTGACAGAGCAAGACTTTGTCAAAAAAGAAAGAAAGAAAGAAAGAGAGAGAGAAAGAGAAAGAAAGAAAGAAAGAAAGAAAGAAAGAAAGAAAGAAAGAAAGAAAGAAAGAAAGAGAAAGAAAGAAAGAAAGAAGATACCCAGTGGTGGTGAGGATGAGAAGTAGCTAAAGCCCTCATACACAGCTGGTGGAGGTATAAACTGGTTTGACTTGTCAGGAAAATTGTTTTTTTTTTTTAATTTGTTTGTTTGTTTTTGAGACAGAGTCTTACCCTGTTGCCCAGGTTGGAGTAAAGTGGCATGTTCTCGGCTCACTGCAACCTCCTCTGCCTCGGGTTCAAGTGATTCTCATGTGTCAGACTCCCAAGTAGCTGGGACTATAGGCACACACCAGCATGCCCGGCTAATTTTTGTATTTTTAGTAGAGACAGGCTTTCACCACGTTGGCCAGTCTGGTCTCAAACTCCTGAGCTCAAGCAATCTGCCTGCCTCAGCCTCCCTCAGCCTCCCAAAGTGCTGGGATTGCAGGTGTGAACCACTATGCCCAGCCAGGAAAGTTGTTTGGTAGAATCTACTAATGCTGGACATTCACCTATCCTATGACCTAGCAATTCCATTCTGAGTAGCAAACATGCATTCAAAAGCATGTTCAAGAATGCTTCTGGCCAGGTATGGTGGCTGACACCTGCAATTCCAGCACTTTGGGAGGCTGAAGTGGGTAGATCACCTGAGGTCAAGAGTTTGAGACCAGCCTGACCAATATGGAGAAACCCCGTCTCTACTAAAGATACAAAAATTAGCCACAGGCCTGTAATTCCAGCTACTTGGGAGGCTGAGGCAGGAAAATTGCTTGAACCCAGGAGGCAGAGGTTGCGGTGAGTTGAGATGGTGCCACTGCACTCCAGCTTGGGCAACAAGAGCGAAGCTCCATCTCAAAAAAAAAGAATGCTTCTAACAGCAGGGCTCATCTTAGCCCAACCCAGGAAACAACCAAAGTATCAATCAACAGCTGAATGAATGAATAAGGTGTTGAGGGTTCATGTTATGATGGAATGCCGGGCAGCGATGAGAGTGAACTGTAACTGCACCCAACATTGCGGGTGAGTCACATGAAAATAGAGTGTTAAGTGACAGAACCAGACACAAGAGTATACACTGCCCACTGAAATGTATACTTAAAATGGTTAAAATGGTAAATAAAAAAAATTTAATAGGGATGGGGTTTTATTATTTTGCCTGGCTGGTCTAAAACTTCTGGAGCTCAAGCGATCCTCTCATCTCAGCTTCCCAAGTGCTAGGATTATAGGTGTGAGCTACCATGCCTGGTCCCACAATATTAAATGTTATATTATGTGTATTATTTCACCACAACAAAAAAAAGTAGAGAGGGGATCATAGAACTGTACAACACAAAGTGCACCTTAATTTAAACTATGGTCTTCAGTTAATAATAATGTATCAGAGGCTGGATGCAGTGGCTCACACCTATAATCCCAACACTTTGGGAAGCCAAGGTGGGTGGATCACCTGAAGTCAGGAGTTTGAGACCAACCTGGCCAACATGGTAAAACCCCATCTATACTAAAAATACAAAAATTAGCCAAGCACAGTGGTGTGAGCCTGTAATCACAGCTACTCAGGAAACTGAGGCACCAGAATCGCTTGAATCTGAAAGGCAGAGGTTGAGACCTTGCCACTGCACTCCAGCCTGGGCGACTCCATCTCAAATAAATAAAAAAAAAAAAAAAAAAAGAGAGAGACTGAGTCTTGCCTGTGGCCCAGGCTGGAGTGCAGTGGAGCAATCTTGGCTTACTGCAACCTCTGCCTCCAGGGTTCAAGTGATTCTCCTGACTCAGCCTCCCGAATAGTGGGGACTACAGGCATACTCCACCACACCTGGCTAATTTTTTTTTATGCTTTTAGTAAAGGTGGGGTTTCACCGTGTTGGGCAGGCTGGTCTAGAACCCTTGCCTCAGCCTCCCAAAGTGCTGGGATTGCAGGTGTGAGCCACCATGCCAGGTCTGACTCTCTGTCTCAAAAAAAAAAAAAAAGAAGAATGTATCAATATTCATCCATCAAATAGATGAATATATTACACTACTATGAATATATTACACTACTGCAAGATGCTAATAATGGGAAACTGCAGAGTGGGGTTGGAAAATGGGCACTTTTACTTCTCTCATCATACTTTTCCCTCAATGTTTCTGTAAACCAAAGACTGCTCTAAAAAACTGTATTAGCTTTTTAATGACTTGCTCTAAAGAACTGCATTAGCTTTTTAAAATTCCTTGCCTGCCCCCAAAAAGTGTATCTATGTCATGATCTCATTTACATAAAGTACAACAACAAGCAAGACAAATCCGTGCAATAGACGTTGGGGTCATGAGTACCCTTGAGAAAGGAACACAGTGGGACTTCTTGGGTGCTCACGATGTCACAGCCAAGAGGAGTCCAAAGAGACATGATGACTAAATGTCATGTGACATCCAATGAGTCTTGGAACAGGAAAAGGACATTAGGTAAAGCCCAAGGAAATCTAGGTAAACCGTGGACTTTAGTTAATTAGAGAGAGAGAAAGAGAGAGAGACAGACAGAGAAAGAAAGAGTCAGTTTTCTATAAAACGTAGCCTAACTCCAACCTTAACCTTTTTCATTGAGTCATTTGAAGTCATTTGAGATACAGACAGGAAACAGCTCCTCTCTTCTCTCATTCATGGCCTTCAAACATGCTCTGTTCCTCTGTTGGATTCCCCATTCATGCCCCTTGGCGTCTCCATACGTTGATGCCACGGTTTTCTTGTTTTCAGGAATAAAAATGCTCACTCAAGTCTAAATCAAAACTTTCCTCTCACATCCACGCCAGGCACGGTGGCTCACACCTGTAATCCCAGAATTTTGGGAGGCCAAGACAGAAGGATTGCTTGGGCCCAGAAGTTCAAGACCAACCTGGGCAACACGGCAAGACCTCCTCTCTACAAAAAAAAATTTTAAGTAAAAAATTAGCCAGGCATGGGGGCACACACCTGTGGTCCCAGCTACTCAGGAGGCTGAGGCAAGAGGATTGTTTGAGCTCAGGAGGTCGAGGCTGCAGTGAGCCATGACTGTGCCACTGAACTCCAGCCTAGGTGACAGAGCAAGACTCCGTATCCAAAAAAAAAAAAAAAGATAGAAAACTTCCTTTTCACATCCAGTTTAAGACTTGTCCTCATCCTCCTCTTATACCTTACTGAGCTCTGGGTGCATATTAAAGACTCCCTCAGTACATCAAGCATCATATATCTTCACCTAAGTCCATAAATAGCGAACATTTCTCATATCTACTTTCTCTTGATTTATTGATAGGTATACTTTTTTAAATGTTATGGATACATAGTAGGTGTATGTATTTATGGGGTACATGAAATGTTTCGATATAGGCATGCAATGTGAAATGAGTACATCATGGAGAATGGGGTCCCAGCCCCTCAAGCCAGGATAAGCCTTTGAGTTATAAGAGATCCAATTATGCTCTCTAAAGGTGTACTGTTTTTTTGTTTTTGTTTTTGTTTTTGTTTTTGTTTTGAGATGGAGTCTCACTCTGTCACCCCGGCTGGAGTGCAGTGGCGCAATCTTGGCTCACTGCAGCTTCCTGAGTAGCTGGGATTACAGGCATGCGCCACCACACCTGGCTAATGTTTGTATTTTTAGTAGAGACAGGGTTTCACCATGCTGTCCAGGATGGTCGCAAACTCCTAACCTCAAGTGATCCACCCACCTCGGCCTCCCAAAGTGCTGGGATTACAGCCGTGAGCCACTGCACCCAGCCTAAAGGTGCACATTTTTTAACAGAACCATTCAAAAGGAGGCTGCAGGCATCATGACATTTCCATGCCACAGCATTTATCTCCTAAGAATAAGGATACACTCCCGCATACCATGACACTCTGTTCACGTCTATAAAGATTGATTTTTATTCCAGAATATCATCTAATCTCCGGTTCATGCTCACATGTCCCCAAAACCCCTTTTGTAGATTTTTGTAAATTTTTGGTTAAATGCCATATCCAATTGAGGTTCATGCATTGCATTTGGTTACATCTCTTGGTCTTTTTGCATGAGGGGGGCCTCTTGAGAACGTACAATCCTATCATCTCTTCTTTTCCACTTGGGGACTGAAAGTCAGAAGTGGCTAGAACATGCCCATCTACTGTTTGGTCTCACAGGTCGTTGGAAGGTGCTAAGGAAGAACATCCTCCTGGAGAGGGGCCGTGAGCCTGGCTGGCCTAGACTGAGCACCCAGGCAGAGTCTCCCTCATGAGTACAGTGGGAAAGAAGCCCAGATCAGTCCAAAGGCCTAACCTCCACTCTCAGACCCTACCCGGCTCTTCAGAAATATAGGCTTCCTACCCTGAACCCTGAAGAAAGCTGCACCTTCATCCCCAGGAACCCAGCACCCCTTCCAGCCTATCCCCAAAGTGTCACCCTGGACCTTGGGTAGAAGGTAGAGCTGAGGGATCATGGCCCAAGGCCAAGGGCTGATCCTTCCGACTTTGTTTGGTGATCCAGCTTTGGTATCAGGTGACCAGGACAAGTGGGCCAATCTGATAGGGGGTGGTGTTTATAAAAAGGCCACTCACCTAGAGCCAGAAGCTCCAGACCAGCCCCTACAACCCTGCTAATCTCAAGCGCCTGCCTCTACAGGTACCTTTCTTGGGACCAATTTCCAGTCCCTGGGATCCCCGACTATAGAACCTGGAAGCTAGTGGAGACAGAAGGACGGGGGGCCCGGGCTAGGTGTAGGGGGCCTGAGTTCCAGGCTTTGCTACCCAGCTCTTGACTTCTGTTTCCCCATTTTAAATGAGTAGCTTGGACTAAGCCATTTCTAAGGAGAGGGATGGGGAGGGCTTCCCCCTTGGCACAAGGGCAGCCCTGGGCCTGGCTGCAGCCCAACCTCAATCTCTAAGACTGTGAGAGGTTGGGGACACATCCCTGGAAGAGCTGCCCTTTCTGGTATTGATAAAGAGTGCCCTGGGGAGGGGCATCCCAAGCTATTTGCACCAGCCCTGGGACCTTGGCCTTTTCAGTGTCACTGGGTAGGGGGAGCACCTGTCCCCTAGGTGTGTAGAGGTATCAGTGGGAAGCCAGTGCTGGCAGGGACTATTTGGCACACAGCTTAGCATGCATGCTGTGCCAGGGGCTGACAAGGGTGCTGTCCTTGGCTTCCCCATTTTAGAGTGGTCACTTGCCTCTACTCCAGCCCTAGAAATGGAAACTGAGATGATGGGTGGAGGAGAGAGCCAGGGCTCATGCTGGGGAACTTGAGGTTCCTTTCCAGCCCTCAGATTCTGTGATGCTCAAAGGGTGAGCTCTGGGGGCACAGGACACATGGTAGGTGGATCTTAGTGTTTCTGCTATCCAGCTGGGAGCCAAGCACAGAACATGCACCAGTGTTTATCAAATGACTGAGAAAATGAATGAATGAATGTCTCCATCTCAATCCTCAGCCTGGTTCCTCCTTGCTTTTTCCCTGTAGTTGGTACAGATGGCATTGTCCCAGTTTGTTCCCTTCTCAGCCACAGAGCTTCTCCTGACCTCTACCGTCTTCTGCCTGGTATTCTGGGTGTTCAAGGGTTTGAGACCTCGGGTCCCCAAAGGCCTGAAAAGCCCACCAGAGCCATGGCGCTGGCCCCTGCTCGGGCACGTGCTGACCCTGGGGAAGAACCCGCACCTGGCACTGACGAAGATGAGTCAGCGGTACGGGGACGTGCTGCAGATCCACATTGGCTCCACGCCCGTGGTGGTGCTGAGCGGCCTGGACACCATCCGGCAGGCCCTGGTGCGGCAGGGCGACGATTTCAAGGGCCGGCCCGACCTCTACAGCTTCACCCTGATCACTGATGGCCAGAGCATGTCCTTCAGCCCAGACTCTGGACCCGTGTGGGCTGCCCGCCGGCGCCTGGCCCAGAACGCCCTCAACACCTTCTCCATCGCCTCTGACCCAGCCTCCTCATCCTCCTGCTACCTGGAGGAGCATGTAAGCAAGGAGGCTGAGGCCCTGATCGGCAGGTTGCAGGAGCTGATGGCAGGGCCTGGGTGCTTTGACCCTTACAATCAGATAGTGGAGTCAGTGGTCAAAGTCATTGGTGCCATGTGCTTCGGACAGCACTTCCCCGAGAGCAGCGATGAGATGCTCAGCCTCATGAAGAACAGTCATGTGTTCGTGGAGAATGCCACCTCTGGGAACCCCGTGGACTTCTTCCCCATCCTTCGCTACCTACCCAACCCTGCCCTGCAGAGGTTCAAGGCCTTCAACCAGAGGTTCCTGAGGTTCCTGCGGGAAACAGTCCAGGAGCACTATCAGGACTCTGACAAGGTGAGCCTGGGGTGCAGGTGGCGAGGGGCACCTCCTCCCAGCTCTAGTGTGTTCACACACTAGAGCCTAGGAAGGCTCTGGACACCTCAGATGAGCTGTGTGCCCTGGAGCCGATCCTTCCCCTTCTCTGGGCCTCGGTTTCCTCATCCTTGAAGTCCCCTTCTCAGGGCTCCTCAAAGCCTGCCAGAAAAAAGTCCTGGTAGGCCAGTCATGGTGGCTCATGGCTGTAATCCCATTGAGGCAGGTGGATCAAGAGGTCAGGAGTTTGAGACCAGCCTGGCCAACATGATGAAACCCAGTCTCTACTAAAACTACAGAAATTAGCAGGTGTGGTGGTGTGTGCCTGTAATCCCAGCTACTCAGGAGGCTGAGGCAGGAGAAGCACTCGAAACTGGAAAGTGGAAGTTGCAGTGAGCCGAGATCACACCACTGCACTCCAGCCTGGGCGAAAGAGCGAAACTCCATCTAAAAAAAAAAAAAAAAGAAAGAAAAGAAAAGAAAAAAGTCCTGGAAACAGGGCCCTAGCAGAGCCCTGCAATGTGGGGGGCCTATGAGTGAGAAAGCTTTTATTCTGCAGAAACCTGAACCCCAACAGCTCTGGTGTCGCTTTGCTTCCCTGTGTTCACACTAATCTTTTCCTCCTTTGAAATTGGAGGTTTCAAATTGGGAAGAAGGGGCAATGGGGCATGAAATGACACTTTAAGCCATACCCAGGGCTGCTACCAGCTCCTGCTGCGAGCTGCAGCCCACTACCTAGAGACCAAGTGGGGGGATGGGGGGTGCCCAGTCCCCCAGGGACAGGCCAGGGAAGTGGAGCAAGGTTCAGCCTTTGACCCTGGAAGTGCCACGGGTGTCCCTAAGCTTGTTCCCCCTCAGAACAGTGTCCAGGACATCACGGGTGCCCTGTTCAAGCACTGCGAGAAGAGGTCTGGAGCCAGCGGTGACCTCATCCCCCAGGAGAAGATTGTCAACCTTGTCAACGACATCTTTGGAGCAGGTAGGAGCCAGAACCCTGCCCCTCCATCCAAACTCCCTGCTGTCCACCCACAGCCTTTCCCTGCCCCTCAGTCTATCAAACAACCCACCAACCCTACACCAGATGGTACAACATATTGAGACCTGGCCTGGGTTCAGGGTTTGAGCCTGGGCTATGTCAGCGGCTCTCAGTGGAAACTCAGCAAAGTCCTTCTCCTCCCCTAGGCTTCGGTTTTCCCATCTGAACAATAAAGTGTTCTCTGGCCTGTAAGTCTAAGCCCCTGTACTCTGGCAGCTAATTCTGAAACCCGTATCTGAAGTTTATGTTGAAGAGAGCCAGCCTCTGTCCTCAGGAAACTCACAGGCCAGGGCCAGAGAAAGCTAACGCTGGGTACACACATAGTAGGTACTTGGGAAATGATGGTTTCCTTGTTTCTGTCTTTCTTCCTTCCTCGCCTCACACGACACGGTCCAGGGTTTGATACAATCACAACAGCCATCTCCTGGAGCCTCATGTACCTCGTGACCAAGCCTGAGATACAGAGGAAGATCCAGAAAGAACTGGGTACATGGGGGCCCCCAACCCTATGGCCAGCACAAGCCTGGAGACCCAGGATGTTTGTTCAGTCTACAAACACCTGTTATGTGCCTACTGTGTGCAGCTCTGGGCACATAGTAGTGCCTGCCCTTGCCTGGAAGATGTGGGAGGTTAGTGGGGTCTCTGGCTTGTGAATAGATGATCTCATATAGAGTGACATGGGGACATGTCATGGAACAGTTAGGGCAGCCCTTGAGCTCTGCTTGTCCTCTGTGTGCTACAGACACTGTGATTGGCAGGGGGCGGCGGCCCCGGCTCTCTGACAGACCCCAGCTGCCCTACTTGGAGGCCTTCATCCTGGAGACCTTCCGACACTCCTCCTTTGTCCCCTTCACCATTCCCCACAGGTGAGGCCCGCCGGTTCTGTCCTCCCACCCCTGAAGTCCTTCCCGTGTTTTCTCTTCCTGGCCTCTCACCCCCGCCCCTGCCCTGGCTCAGCATCTCCTTCCCCACCTCCTTCCGCTCAGATCCCAGCCTCAGTCCGCCCCACCCAATCCAAACATAATCAAACCCCTAGCTCTCGGGAGGAAATCCCACTTTCCATCGCAGCTCTCATTCCCCTCTGCTCATCCTCCCTCCCTCCCAGTGCCTCTGTGCCACCTAGGTCGGCCTCATGCTCACAAGCATGGCCCTGCCATCCTCCAACTTTGCTAACGCTGAACCTTCTGCCTGGAATGCCTTCTAGCCTCTTCTCTGACTCCAGAATCCTACCCTTCATCAAAGTCAATGCTGACTCGGGCTTCCTCTCCCCAGAAGTCGTCTGACTCATCCAGCTGGCACGGCTTCATTCCTGATGTCTTATAGCCATCAGCCCTTGATCATGCCCTGGAATTTTAACAGTGTCAGGAGAGTTAGCGAACATTTACTTCGGCCCAAACGTTGTTCTAGTTATTCCTGCAGTAGGAGGCCTGAATCCCCAGCCAGGCTAGCAACTCCCCAGGGCTGGTCCAGGCAGCCTGCTGCTTTTTTTGTTGTCGTTGGGAGGGGGAGACTGAGTCTCGCTCTATTGCCCAGGCTGGAGTGCAGTGGCACAATCTCAGCTCACTGTAACCTTCACCTCCTGGGTTCAAGCGATTCCCCTACCTCTGCCTCCCAAAGTGTTGGGATTACAGGTGTGAGCCACCACGGTCGGCTTTTTTTTTTTTTTTTTTAATAGAAAAGAGAAAAACCTGTATCTGAAATTGCCTGCTTCTTGGCTTCAGAGAACAGCCATTGCACAGCCAGGCACAAAGAGAAGTTTAGTAAATACTTGGTGAAGTTAAAGAACAGGAGGTGACAAAGAGGGAGGGAGGATGATGCTACCTCTCCCCTGCGCCTCCCCTCCCCTCCCAGTGCAGGTAGCTGTCTGGATGGGGTGGAGGAGGTAGGAGCAACACACGCCCCAGCTTTCCAGCCCTGAGCCTGACAGCGCCCTCTTCCCTCCTCAGCACAACAAGGGACACAACACTGAAAGGCTTCTACATCCCCAAGGAATGCTGTGTCTTCATAAACCAGTGGCAGGTCAACCATGACCCGTGAGTACACATCCCTTCCGGAAAAATGTGTGCAAGTTCAGCAGTCGGGAAGGCTGTTTGTCCCTGCTAGGAACTGTGTATATAACAAAGGAGGAGACCTCAATTCCTATATCGTCTGCTCTAAGTGACAATATTTACAAACATTTCACAGGCCAGGCATGGTGGCTCATGCCTGTAATTCCAGCACTTTAGGAGGCTGAAGAGGGCGAATCACCTGAGGTCAGGAGTTCAAGACCAGCCTGGCCAACATGGTAAAACCCTGTCTCTACTAAAAATATAAAAATTAGCCAGGTGAGGAGGTACGTACCTGTAATCCCAGCTGCTTGGGATGCTGAGGCAAAAGAATTGCTTGAACCCAGGAAGTGAAGGCTGCAGTGAGCTGAGATCATGCCATTGCACTCCAGTCTGGGCAACAGAGCAAGACCACACACACACAAAAAAAAAAAACCCACAAAAAACCAAAGATTTCACAAACTTTAGTGCACAGGAATCAACCAGGATGGCTAGACACGGTGGTTCACACCTGTAATCCCAACACTTTGGGAGGCCAAACCAGGCAGATCACTTGAGGTCAGGAGTTTGAGACCAACCTGGGCGACATGGTGAAACCCCATCTCTACTAAAAATAAAAAAATTTAAAAAAAATTAGCCGGACATGGTGATGTGCCTGTAGTCCCAGCTACTCAGGAGACTGAGGCAAGAGAATTTCTTGAACTCTGGAGATGGAGACTGCAGTGAGCTGAGATCATGCCGCTGCATCCCCAGCCTGGGTGACAGAGTGAGACTCTGTCTCCAAAAAGAATAATAATAATGATAATAATAATAATTAACCAAGATGTTTGTTATAGCTGATGGCTCCCCCAGGATTCTACTGTGGTATCTACGGCGGGGTGCCTAAGGCAATTCTGATGTGAATGGCCCAGAGACCTCTGTTTGGAAAGCCCCACTTTAGTGTATAGGTAGAGGGACCATATAATTTACCATCCACACTGGGACACTTGAGTGTGAAAATGCTACCAATGTTTATGCTGTTCTTCATTACTCTAAAACAATAAACATAAGCCAGGACATACTGCTGAGGCCCCTTGGGAGGCATATTTTGAGTAGGATGTAATTTCTTTTTTTTGAGACTTAGTTTTGCTGTCTCGCAGGCTGGAGTGCAGTGGCGCAATCTCAGTTCACTACAACCTCCGCCTCCCAGGTTCAAGCGATTCTCCTGCCTCAGTCTCCCGAGTGGCTGGGAATACAGGAATCCGCCACCAAGCCCGGCTAATTTTGTATTTTTAGTAGAGACAGGGTTTCACCACGTTGGTCAGGCTGGTCTGGAGCTCCTGATCTCAGATGATTTGCCTGCCTCGGCCTCCTGAAGTGCTGGGATTACAGGTGTGAGCCACGCAGACAGCTAATTTTAATTTTTAAATAGAGACAATGTCTCCCTATTTCCCCAGGCTGGTTTTGAATTCAAGGACTCAAGGGATCTTCCTGCCTCAGCCTCCCTAAGTGCTAGGATTACAAGTGTGAGCCACCAAACCCAGCTTGTTTTTCTTTTAATTTCTTTGAGATAAAGCATTATTTAAAATAAATTAATATTAAAAGGCACTATCGGGCTGGGAGTGGTGGCTCACGCCTGTAATCCCAGCACTTTGGGAGGCTGAGGCAGGTGAATCATGAGGTCAAGAGATCGAGACCATCCTGGTCAACATGGTGAAACCCCGTCTCTACTAAAAATACAAAAAATTAGCTGGGCACGGTGGCAGGTGCCTGTAATCCCAGCGACTCAGGAGGCTGAGGCAGGAGAATTGCCTAAACCCAGGAGGCGGAGGTTGCGGTGAGCCGAGATTGCGCCATTGCACTCCAGCCTGGGTAACAAGAGTGAAACTCCGTCTCAAAAAAATAAAATAAAATAAAAATAAAAGGCACTATCTTTAAGGCTGGTCATCTTAGAGAGTGCTTTGTAAAAGAAATAAGCATCAGGCCAGGTGCGGTGGCTCATCCCTGTAACCCCCAGCATTTTGGGAGGCCGAGGAAGGTGGATTGCTTGAGCTCACACGTCTGAGACCAGCCTGGGCAACACAGTAAAACCCTGTCTCTGCAAAAACAAGTACAAAAATTAGCCTCATGTGGTGCCTGTAGTCCCAGCTACACGAGAGGCTTAGGTGGGAGGATGGCTTGAGCAGAGACTGCAGTGAGCCGAGATCGCCCACTGTACTCCAGCCTGGGCCATAGAAGCCAGAGGTTGTCTCGGAAAAAAAAAAAAAAAAAAAAAGAAGAAGCATCAAAGTTCAGTTTGGTTCCTTCCCACTTACCCTGAGTTGCTTTCCATCTGTCCTCACATTTGTGTTCTCAACAGACGTCTCCGTCCCCCAGGCCCCTCCTCCCAGGGCCTCCCCACCCCTAAAGGTCCCATCTCCTCTGTTCCTCTTGCAGGCAGCTGTGGGGGGACCCATCTGAGTTCCGGCCTGAGCGGTTCCTCACCGCCAAAGGCACCGCCCTCAACAAGCCCTTGAGTGAGAAGATACTGCTGTTTGGCCTGGGCAAGCGCCGGTGCATCGGGGAGGTTCTGGGCAAGTGGGAGGTCTTCCTCTTCCTGGCCATCCTGCTGCAGCAGCTGGAGTTCAGCGTGCCGCCGGGCGTGCAAATCGACCTGACCCCCACCTACGGGCTGACCATGAAGCACGCCCGCTGCGAACACGTCCAGGCGCGGCTGCGCTTCTCCTTCCAGTGAGGAAGACACCGCCATGCGGAGACTGGGGACCGAGTGGAGATCGGCCCGGGGGACTCAGCCCTCGTTTCTCTTCCTTTCTTTTTTCTTTTCAAAAATAGCTGCTTGGAGGAGGCCGAGGCGGGTGGATCACGAGGTCAAGAGATTGAGACCATCCTGGTCAACATGGTGAAACCCCGTCTCTACTAAAAATACAAAAAATTAACTGGGCATGGTGGCGCATGCCTGTAATCCCAGCTACTCAGGAGGCTGAGGCAGGAGAATTGCCTGAACCCAGGAAGCGGAGGTTGCGGTGAGCCGAGATCACGCCATTGCACTCCAGCCTGGGTAACAAGAGCGAAACTCCGTCTCAAAAAAAAAAAAAAAAAGCTGTTTGGCTGGGCTCGGTGGCTCTGGCCCGTAACACCAGCACTTTGGGAGGCCGAGGCGAGTGGATCACAAGGTCAAGAGATCCAGACCATGGTGAAACCCCGTCTCAGGAGAATTGCTTGAACCCAGGAGGCGGAGGTTGCAGTGAGCCAAGATCGTGCTACTGCACTCCAGTCTGGCACCTGCCGACAGAGAGAGACTGTCTCAAAAAATAAAAATAAAAAGTAAAAAAGCAGCCCAAGTGCAGGGCCTGTAATCCCAGCGCTTTCAGAGGCCAAGGTTGAAGGATCCTTTGAGCCCAGGAGTTGGAAAGCAGCCTGGGCAATGTAGTGTAACTCTGTCTCTACAATTAAAAAAAAAAAAAAAAAAAAATATATATATATATATATATATGGCAGCTTTCTGGATATATAATTCTTATACCATATAATTCACCTTATTATTGTTATTAATTTTTTCCTGAGACAGAGTCTCACTCTGTCACCCAGGCTGGAGTGCAGTGGCATGATCTCAGCTCACTGCAACCTCTGCCTCCTGGGTCAAGCGATTCTCCTGCCTCAGCCTCCCAAGTAGCTGGGACTACAGGCACACACCATGCCTGGCTAATTTTTGTATTTTTAATAGAGATGGGGTTTTACCATGTTGGCCAGGATGGCCTCAATCTCTTGACCTCGGGACTGCCTGCCTTGGCCTCTCAAAGTGCTGGGATTACAGGTGTGAACCACCACCCCCGGCCCACAATTAATTTCGGAACATTTTCATCACCCCTAAAAGAAACCCTTAACCCATTAGCAGCTCCTCCACATTTCCCCCTAGCCTCCTCCCCTGCCTCACTAGCCCTGGCAACTACTAATCCACTTTCTGTGTCTATGCATTTGCCTTCTCTGAACATTTCAAATAAACAGCGTCATACAACGAGCGGTCTTTTGTGACTGGCCTCTTTCACTTAGCACAATGTTTTCAAGCCTCGTCTGTATTGTGGCTTGTGTCAGGAAGCCCTTGGTGCTTGAATCCTGAGACCAGGTCCAGGTCTGTGCTCCCTGAAGTCATTGACAGGCACCTCCTTCACCCTTCTCTCCTTTCATGTTGTTTGACCTGAGTTTTTGAACAATTGAAGGGAGCAAAGAGGAAGGGATCCAGTCTCAGGGGCCAAACCCAGTTGGGTGGATGGGGTCCCTCCTGTCCCATTCTCAAAAGGCAGAACACATGACTTCTCACAAGGCCTTGATTTCTTTGTTCACAGCCCAGGGTGGGTAAGCTTCCCAGAAGTGCTCAGGCTATTTGAAAAAGGCCCGGGTCTCATCAAAGGACACTATCAAGAAATTGAAAGGAGCCTGGACACAGTGGCTTATGTCTGAAATCCCAGCATTTTGGGAGGCCAAGGCGGGTGGATCACTTGAGGTCAGGAGTTTGAGACCAACCTGGCCAACATGGTGAAACCTCATCTCTACTAAAAATACACAAACTAGCTGGGTGGAGTGGCTAGCCTCAGGTGCTCAGGTGGCTATAATCCCAGCTACTCAGGAGGCTAAGCCATGAGAATCACTTGAACCCAGGAGGTGGTGGCAGTGAGCCGAGATCCTTGCAAAAAAAAACAAAAAAACAAAAACCAAAAATTGAAAAGACAACTCACAAAATGAAAGAAAATATTTGCCAAATGTATAGCTGTTAGAGCATTTATATCTAGAATATATAAATAGCTCCTGGCCTGGCGCGGTGGCTCACGCCTATAATCCCAACACTTTGGGTGGCAGAGGCAGGCCAATCACCTGAGATCAGGAGTTTGAGACCAACCTGGCCAACATGGTGAAACCCCGTCTCTACTAAAAACACAAAAATTAGCCAGGTGTGGTGGTGGGCGCCTGTAATCCCAGCAGGAGAATGGCTTGAACCGGGAGGCAAAGGTTGCAGTGAGCTGAGATCACACCACTACACTCCAGCCTGGGCAATGAATGAAACTCTGTCTCAAAAAAATAAATAAATAAAAATAAAAATAGAGAGAACTCCTACAACTCAACCACAGAAAAGTGACTCAATTAAAAAATGGTCATAGGACTTGAATAAACTTTTCCCTAAAGGAGATATATCCATTGTATCCCTGTATCAAAATATCCTATGTACCCCATAAATACATACACTTACTGTATACCCACAAAAATTTAATTTAAAATTTGTACAAAAGAAAATACACAGGCCAGGCATGGCAGTGCTTGCCTGTAGTCCCAGCTACAAGGGAGGCTGAGGTGGGAGGGTGGCTTGGGCCCAGAAGTTGGAGGCTGTAGTGAGCTATAATCAGACCACAGCACTCCAGCCTGGGCAAGAATGAGACTTTGTTTCTGGGAAAAAAAAAAAAAGCTATATATATATATATGTATACAATCTCAAACTCCTGGTCTTGTGATCCACCTGCCTTGGCCTCCCAAAGTGCTGGGATTACAGGCATGAGCCACCAGGCCTAGCGCAACAATATTTTTTTAAAAGGCCACCATGCCCAGCCACAGAAAACACAATAAATTGTGTGTGTTAAAAAGAGATGAGCTGGCCAGGCACAGTGGCTCACACCTGTAATCTCAGTACTCTGGGAAGCCAAGGCGGGCGGATCACCTGAGGTCAGGAGTTCAAGACCAGTCTGGCCAACATAGGTAAACCCCGTCTCTACTAAAAATATACAAATTAGCTGGGTGTGGTGGCACATGCCTGTAGTCTCAGCTACTAGGGAGGCTGAGGCAGGAGAATTGCTTGAACCCGGAATGGAGGTTGCAGTGAGCTGAGACCACGCCATTGCACTCCAGCCTGGGTAACAGAGCAAGACTTTGTCTCAAAAAAAAAAAAAAAGAAAAGAGAAGAGCCACAAAAAGACATGAAAGAACTTTGAACATGTATTACTAAGTGAAGAAGCCAATCTGAAAGGGCTACTACATTCTTTATGATTCCAACTCTAGGACTTTCTGAAATAGGCAGAACTATAGAAATAATAAAAAGATCAGTGTTTGCCAGGAGTTCGGGACATGGGGGTGAGGGATGAATAAGAGGCACAGAGGGATTTTAGAGCAGTGAAACTTCTCTCTATGATACTGTAATGATGGATAAATGTCAAAACCTGTAGAATGTACAACACCAAGAGCGAACCCTCCTGGATACAAAAATACAGTTAGATACAAGGAATAAGATCTAGTTTTTTGGTTTCGTTTTTGAGACAGAGACTTGGTCTTGTCACTCGGGCTGGAGTGCAGTGGCGTGACCTTGGCTCACTGCAACCTCTGTCTTTTGGGTTCAAGCAATTTTCCTGCTTCAGCCTCCTGAGTAGCTGGGATTACAGGCAGCTGCCACCATGCCCAGCTAATTTTTGTATTTTTGGTAGAGACAGGGTTCCTCCATGTTGGTCAGGCTGGTCTCGAACTCCTGACCTCATTCGTGATCCACCAACCTCGGCCTCCCAAAGTGCTGGGATTGCAGGCGTGAGCCACCTGGCCTAGATCTAGTATTTGATAGCACAACAGAAGGAATATAGTCAGCAATGATTTGCAGCACATTTTGTAATAACTGAGGGAGTACAACTGGAATGTTTGTAACACAAAGAAAAAATTAATGCTTGATACCCCATTTACTCTAATGTGATTATTACGCACTGTATTCGTGCATCAAAATATCTCATATAACCCATACATGTATTCACTTACTATGTACCCATAAAAATTAAAAATGTAGACTGGGCACAGTGGCTCATACCTGTAATCCCAACGCTTTGGGAGGCCAAGGGAGTGAGATCACCTGAGGTCAGGAGTTCAAGACCAGCCTGGCCAACATGGTGAAACCCTGTCTCTACTAAAAATAGAAATATTAGCCAGGTGTGTTGGCGGGCACCTGTAACCCCAGCTACTCAGGAGGCTGAGGCAGGATAATCACTTGAGCCCAAGAGGTGGAGGGTGCAGTGAGTTGAGATTGTGCCACTGCACTCCAGACTGGGAGAGTGAGACTCTGTCTCAAAAAATTAAATTAAATATATCCTCCCACCATGGGACAACATATGCAGGCCACCATGCCTGGCTCATTTTTTAATTTTTTGTAGAGATGGGATTTTGTCGTCCAGACTGGTCTTAAACTCCTGAGCTCAGGTGATCCACCTGCTTCAGCCTCCCAAGGTGCTGGAATTACAGGCAGCAGCCACCGTGCCCAGCCAAAAACAGTTTTTTTTTTTTTCTTTTTTAGACAGAGTTTTGCTCTTGTTCCCCAGGCTGGAGTGCAATGGTGTGATCTTGACTCACCAAAACCTCCACCTCCCTGGTCAAGCAATTCTCCTCCTCAGCCTCCTGAGTAACTTGGATTATAGGCATGCACCACTGTGCCCAGCTGATTTTGTATTTTTATAGTAGATACAGAGTTTTTTCATGTTGGTCAGCCTGGTCTCAAACACCTGACCTCAGGTGATCTGCCTGACTTGGCCTCCCAAAGTGCTGGGATTACAGGCATGAGCCACCACGCCCGACGCCAAAAAAAATTTTAAGAGTGAATCAATCCTTGCTGGGCACAGTGGCTCATGCCTGTAATCCCAGCACTTTGGGAGGCTAAGGCAGGTGGATCACTGGAGGTCAGGAGGTGATTGGGTAATAGGGCTCTGCTCTCATGAATGAGTTAATCCATTCCTGGATTAAAGGATTAATAAATTATCAAGGGAATGGGTTAGTTATCAGGAGAGTGGGTCTCTTATGAGCCCTTCACCATGTGATGCCTTGAGCCACCTGTGGACTCTGAAGAGAGTCACCAGCAGTAAGAAGTCCCTCAGCAGATGTGGCCCCTCAAGCTTGGATCTCCCAGTCTTCAGAACCATGAGCTAAATAAACCTCTGTACTTTATAAGTTATCCACTCTGCAGTATTCGATATAGCAACAGAAATTGACTGATACCCTGTTGTCTGGAATAGACTCACCCAGCCACATGTGCAGTGGAATGAATCTCCTCAGAGTAAATCCTCTTTTCCTGTTGCCTTTTAATAACTGTGTTAGAGATGTGTTCTGCAGAAGGAATATCCACTAGTAGTTCAAGTTGAAAATTTAGTAAGAAGGTGGTTCAGATGGTGACCAACCCCCCAGGTGTGGTTAGTCCTGGGAGTGAGTTTACAGGGCTTTGACCCTCTTTATGTCACCATGCACATGCCAGCTGGACCTCAACTGCTACAGTTTCTTCTGTCTGAGTAGTTACCACAAAGACTAATAGAGCTTGGCTGCAATGCCATCCTTGACCAACAGGAGCTGCTGTCTAATATATATGTGTATGTATATCATTATAGAGATATATACAAATACACACGCATATATATAAGTTCCTTTAGTATATTCTTGCTCTCTTTATTATTAATCAAAGCTCGCTTTATCTGTCCTGCAAATTATTAATCTCTAAGGTGGGACAATAATGAACCAGATCTTTATTTCTTTTTTTTTTTTGAGACTGAGTTTCGCTCTTGTTACCCAGGCTGGAGTGCAATGGCATGATCTCCGCTCACCGCAACCTCCGCCTCCTGGGTTCAGGCAATTTTCCTGCCTCAGCCTCCTGAGTAGCTGGGATTACAGGCACGTGCCACCGTGCCCAGCTAATTTTTTGTATTTTTAGTAGAGACGGGGTTTTACCACGTTGACCAGGATGGTCTCGATCTGTTGACCTCGTGATCCACCCACCTCGGCCTCCCAAAGTGCTGGGATTACAGGCTTGAGCCACCGCGCCCGGCCTTCTTCTTTTTTTTTTTTTTTTTTTTAATGGTAATAACAGGGTGGGCAAGGCTAACCCTGGCCCTTCCACATTGATTTGAAACCAGTAGCTCTCAAGGGTAACATGCATCGGAATCCCCTGGAGGGCTTGTTAAGACACAAGTTACCAGCCCCATCTCCAGACTTCCTAATTTGGTAGGTCTGGAGTGGGCCTTATAATTTGCATTTCATTTTTAAAAATTTATTTATTATACTCTAAGTTCCGGGGTCCATGTGCATGCAGACAGTGCAGGTTTGTTACATAGGTATACACGTCCCAGGGTGGTGGTTTGCTGCATCCATCCCCCGGTCATCTACATTAGGTATTTCTCCTAATGCTATTCCTCCCCAATCCCCCCACCTCCTGCTATTCCTCCCCTAGCCTCCCACCCCCCAGGCCCCAGTGTGTTGTTCCCCTCCCTGTGACCATGTGTTCTCATTGTTCAACACCCACTTATGACTGAGAACATGCTGTGTTTGGTTTTCTGTTCTTGTGTCAGTTTGCTGAGAATGATGGTTTCCAGTTTCATCCATGTCCCTGCAAAGGACCTGAACTCATCCATTTTTAAGGCTGCATAGTATTCCATGGTGTATATGTGCCACGTTTTCTTTATCCAGTCTATCACTGATGGGCATTTGGGCTGGTTCCAAGTCTTTGCTATTGTGAATAGTGCTGCATAAACATACATTGGCATGTGTCTTTATAATAGAATGATTTACAATCCTTCAGGTATATACACACTAATGGGATTGCTGGGTCAAATGGTATTTCTATTTCTATCAGATCTTTATTTCTTTATTTTTTTTGAGATGGAGTCTTGCTCTGTTAACCAGGCTGGAGTACAGTGGCACTATCTCGGCTCCTCCTCCCGGATTCAAGCAATCCTCCTGTCTCAGCCTCTGGAGTAGCTGGGATTACAGGCACCTGCCACTATGCCTGGCTAGTTTTTGTATTTTTAGTAGAGACAAGGTTTCACCACGTTGGCTAGGCTGCTCTCAAACTCCTGACTTCAGGTGATCCACCCGCCTTGGCTGCCCAAAGTGCTAGGATTACAGGCATGAGTCAACGTGCCCAGCCTGGATGAACTCTTTAGAGATGAAGAACTGAGACTGGGTGTGGTGGCTCACACCTGTAATCCCAGCACTTTGGAAGGCCAAGGTGGGTGAATCACTTGAGGTCAGGAGTTCAAAACCAGCCTGGCCAAAGTGGCAAAAACTCCATCTCTACTAAAAATACAAAAATTAGCCAGGTGTGGCGGCAGGCACCTGTAATCCCAGCTACTTGGGAGGCTAAGGCACGAGAATCTCTTGAATCCGGGAGGTGAAGGTTGCAGTGAGCAGAGATCGCACCATTGCACTCCAGCCTGGGTGACAAGAGTGAGACTCCACCTCAAAAAATGAATAAAATGGAGATCGATCCAAGATGGCCGACCACTAACAGCTCAGGATTGTAGCTCCCAGTGAAAGCCCAGAGAACGAGACGACGCCACACTTTTAGACGAATTTTCGTCACTCACCGATCAGCCGATTCCCAGTGGAGGAGCCCCACGGGTCGACAGCGCGACTCTTGTGGCCGCCGCAGTGGTTTTGCCGGCGTCTCGGCGCAGCAGCTCTTCATGCAGAGCCAACGGGACCGCTTCCCCTACTGACCGGAGTTTGGAGCTCCGGGAAGTCAGAGCCGCTTGTTGCGGACTCAAGAGGGAAGCCAGACCAGAGATTCCCGGGCAGAAGAGCACCATCAGTCTTACCGCTGCTATTTAGGCTGCCACAGTGGGTTGCTCGGATCCCAACACTGGGAATCAATAAGTCCGACGTCGACTCAGAGAACTAATTAGAAAGGCGGTTCATCTACAATGAAGGGAAAAAAACAGCCTAAGAAGGCCGAGTATACTCAAAATCAGAACCCATCAGCAACGGAACAAGCCCTGATGGAAAAGGACTCATCAGCAGCAGAACAAGCCCTGATGGAAAAGGACTCATCAGCAGCAGAACAAGCCCTGATGGAAAAGGACTCATCAGTAACGGAACAAGCCCTGATGGAAAAGGACTGTGTTCCATTATCTGAAGTAGGCTTTAAAAGGTGGATGATAAGAAACTTCTGGGAGTTAAAGGAACTTGTTCTAACCCAATGTAAAGAAACTAAGAACTTGGAAAAAAGATTAGATGAAATGTTGAAAAGAATAGACAATATAGAGAGGAATACAAATGAACTTATGGAGTTGAAAAATACAACACGAGAACTTAGTGAAACATGTACAAGCTTAAACAGCCGAATGGATCAAGCAGAAGAAAGGGTATCAGAGGTCGAAGATCAACTTAATGAAACAACACAACAAGACAAGAATAGAGAAAAAAGGATAAAAAGGAATGAGCAAAGTCTCCAAGCAATATGGGACTATGTGAAAAGACCTAATATACGCTTGATTGGTGTACCTGAATGTGACGGAGAGAATGAATTCAAGCTGGAAAATACTCTCCAGGACATTATCCAGGAAAATTTCCCTAATTTAGCAAAGCAGGACACTATTCAACCCCAGGCAATACAGAGAACACCACAAAGATATTCCTCAAGAAGACCAACCCCAAGGCACATAATCGTCAGATTCACCAAGATCGAAACGAAGGAGAAAATATTAAGGGCAGCCAGAGAGAAAGATCAAGTTACCCATAAAGGTAAGCCTATTAGGCTTACAGCAGATCTCTCAACGGAAACCCTACAAGCTAGAAGAGAGTGGGGGCCAATATTCAATATACTTAATCAACAGAACTTTCAGCCCAGAATTTCATATCCTGCCAATTTAAGCTTTACATTTGAAGGAAAAATAAAATTTTTTAGGAACAAGCAAGTACTCAGAGATTTTATTACCACCAGGCCTGCTTTACAAGAACTTCTAAAAGAAGCACTATACACAGAAAGGAACAACCAGTATGACCCTTTCTAAAAATACACCAAAAAGTAAAGAGCATTAACATAAAGAAGAATTTTTATCAATGAAAGGACAAAATAGCCAGTTAATATCAAACGGCAGCAACCCTAAATTTAAATCGACCAAACCTCCCAATCAAAAGATACAGACAAAATCTAATGGTATATCTAAAGATATACATAGACTCAAAATAAAGGGTTGGAAAAAAAAAAAAACGTACCAACCAAATGGAGAGCAAAAATAAATAAATAAGCAGGAGTTGCAATTTTCACATTTGACAAAATAGATTTCAAAGCTACAAGGATACAAGGATAAAAGGATTAATGTAATAATAAGAGATCTTAACACCCAGATACATAAGACCCATAATGAGATTTAGATTCAACGAGACAGAAAATTGATAACGATATCCGGGACTGGAACTAAGATCCAGAACAAATAAACTCAATAGGGCTCTCCATTTTAAACACACAAAATATTCATTATCCACAAAATCTAACGATATATCTAAAGATATACAAAGACTCAAAACAAGCGGATGGAAAAAAGCTCACCAACCAAATGGAGAGCAAAAATAAATAAATAAAAAGCAGGAGTTGCAATTCTCACACTTAATAAAATAGATTTCAAAGCTACAAGGATGCAAGGGTAAAAGAATTAATACAACAATAAGAGATCTTAACACCCAGATACATAAGACACATAATGAGATTTAGATTCAACGAGACAACAAATTGATAAGATATTCAGGACTTGAACTCAGAACCAGAACAAATAAACACAACAGAGGTCTCCATTTTAAACACATAAAATATGCATTAACCACTTTAAACACTCAAAATATTGATCGGCCATTATTGAAACCCATTTTAGGAATGAAGTAAACCAGTATGATCCTTTCTAAAATACACCAAAAAGTAAAGAGCATTAACATAAAGAAGAATTTTTATCAACAAAAGGACAAAATAGCCAGTTAATATCAAATGGCAGTAACCCTAAAGTTAAATCAACCAAATCTCCCAATCAAAAGATACAGACAAAATCCAACGGTATATCCAAAGATATACATAGACTCAAAATAAAGGGTTGGAAAAAAAAAACGTACCAACCAAATGGAGAGCAAAAATAAATAAATGAAAAGCAGGAGTTGCAATTTTCACATTTGACAAAATAGATTTCAAAGCTTAAACAACTTACATAAAAATCAATTGTATCAGAATAGCTGCTATTGAAAAGAAAAGGACCAAATTATGTTTTGCTAAGGATGTAGAGACATTGACACTCTCTTGTACACTGGAGGAAATTGAAAAAAAAAAAAAAAAAAAAATGAATAAAATAAGTAAAGATTATTCCATTGGTATTATTGCCCCTACATCCTGAAAATAATCATGATGGTCTGTGGCTTTGAAGAAAATAATGCATGTGAGAAGTAAAATCATTAGGTGCAGTGACTCACATCTGCAATCCCAGCACTTTGGGAGGCCGAGGTGGGAGGATCACTTGAGCTCCGGAATTTGGGACCATCCTGGGCAACATAGCAAGACCCCACTTCTGGGGGAAAAAAAAGTAAAATCAACTGGAGTCTATGCTAAAATCCTGGAGGGAAAAAGTACCTCACTTGAGCTCTGTGTCCATGCCTGTCCTCAAACCCAAAGCAAACTCCTCAAGAAAGCTCCATCGGAGAGAAGGCCCAGTTCATCTCTCAGACGCAGGAAGGCACAGCACACTCAGGAGAGCTAGGGAGCCCCGGTCTGAAGCTGGAGACAGCCCTGTCCCGAGATCCCGAGACTCAGCAGACCTGACCTGCCCTGGACATCACATATTGAGAGAGAAGACAAAGCCCTGCCTGAGGGCTGCAGTCTGAGGAGAAAATTCCCTGCTCTGAGAGACGCATCTGAGGAGGGAGATGCAGCCCAGCCCTCGGCGTCTCAGCAAAACTCACCTGTTCTGAGATCCCTTGTCTGAAAGCGGAAACACAGCTTTGTCCTGGGAGGGACCACAGACATGGCGCTGCCCCAAGGGGCCAATCTGAGCAGGGAGGTGGAGTCCTCTGAGATCTCTCAACTGAAAGGAATATGGCTCTGTCATGGGCAGCCCAGCCCTGAGAATCTCAGGAAAAGAAGTTGGCCCTGTCTGAGAGAGAAACACGGCCGGCCCTGGAAGCTCCTATTTGAGGGGACATGGCCGTATCCTCCAGAGCCCCTAGACTGCCTGCAGGCTCATGATGCACCCTGGTGTCACATACAAAGACTCCCAGCAGGCCAGGCTCCAGGGCTCACACCTGTAATCTCAGCACTTTGGGAGGCCAAGGCGGGCTGATCACCTGAGGTCAGGAGTTCAAGACCAGCCTGGCCAACATGGTGAAACCCTAGTAAAAAACAAAATTAGTCAGGCATGATGGTGTGTGCCTGTAATCCCAGCTATTTGGGAGGCTGAGGCAGGAGATTCGCAGTGAGCCGAGATCATGCCATTGCATTCCAGCCTGGGTGATAAGAGTAAAACTTCATCTAAAAAAAAAAAGGACTCCCAACAAGCCACAAGCAGGCATTGCCATCCTTTGCCCCTCTAAGCTGCAGCAGGGCCCAGGTCCCTGAGGAAATTTCAGGACAGATCTGAGGTGGCTCCATGGTCACCAGACGGTCACTACCCCATCTGGCTCACCGTGGTCTGGAGACGGCCTGAGCTTCTCACGCATACCTGGCCAATCTTTAACTGGTTGGCCTGGAGCTCCCCACTCACCAGAGCCAAGGTAGAAGAAATTGGAGACTTTGCCCCACTGCTTGTCATTCCTGCCCCCAATAGCAGGCAGGAGGCACATGGGGTCAGCCTTTTCTGTCCCTTCCCGGGAGGCCATGGACACACGTCATCTCAGGCTGTTCTCATAACAACCACAGGAGATGGACACTGATATACCCACTTTAGAGATGAGAAGCCTGAGGCTCAGGAAGCACAAGGAGGGCCTGAGTGGTGGAGGGACTCAGGACTGCGCCATTTACCCTCTGCCACCTCCAGGGTCTCTTCTCTGCCTGTGTCTCTCCTGAGTCAGGACTGTCTGGCTGGAACAGGTCAGCTTGGAAATGCAACATGACTAAGGAACGGCATGGAGAGTTGGAAAGAGCTCTTGGCCAGAGGGCTAGGAGAACTGCGCCCGGGTTCCAAGTGTGGGTGACCTTGGGCAAGCCCCACCCATCTTCAGCCTCCTCTGGGGTCTTCTCCAGCACCATTCGCCTGAAGTTCGGGCCGCTGACAATGCCCCCTGCTCTGCCAGCCTTGCTTAATAAGGCTGTGGGCAAATCCAGTGAGGCTCTGGCAAACCGTGAAGTGCAGTGCACCCGGGGAAGGTGATTTTTGGCTAAGATGATGGAATGGAAGAAGGTGGAATGGTGGGAAAAGCCTTGAGCTGGGAATCCCATCTCCACCTCACAGGGAAAATCAAGAGACTTCTCTAGGCCTCCCCGTCTGTCCAGTTCAGAGCCTCAGCTCCCTTGATCTCAAGTATCTGCCACCAACCAGATACCAGATCTTTCCTTTATACCTTAGCACAGGTCTATTTTTTTTTAAGAGATGGGGGTCTCCCTCTGTCACTCAGGCTGGAGTACAGTGGTGAATCATAGCTCACTGCAGCCTCGGACTCCGGGACTCAAGCAATATTCTCCTGCCTCAGTCTCCTGCCACTGTACCGAGCTCGTTCAGCTCCTTGAGAGAGGAGTTTGATTGGCTCAGCTCATCTTTTTCAGGCAGGCCACACAGGTCAGAGGTCACAGTCAGTCAGGGTCCCCTTGGAGCAGTGTTTACTGCCACAGCCAACAGGGTCAGGGCCACAGCATCCTGGCTACCTCAGCCCAGGGCCCCTGCACACCCCTCCTTACACCCCCACTGCAAAGAAAATCACCCTTGGGCTGGGCACGCCTCTAATTTCAGTACTTTGGGAGGCTGAGGCTGGCAGATCACCTGAGGTTGGGAGTTTGTGACCAGCCTGACCAACATAGAGAAACCTCGTCTCTACTAAAAACACAAAATTAGCCAGGCGTGGTGGTGCATGCCTGTAATCCCAGCTATTGGGAGACTGAGGCAGGAGAATTGCTTGAACCCGTGAGGCAGAGGTTGCAGTGAGCCGAGATCATACCATTACACTCCAGCCTGGGCAACAAGAGTGAAACTCCAACTCAAAAAAAAAAAAGAAAGAAAGAAAATCACCCTTGCTCTCAGCCTTCTCTGGGACTCCAAGGCTGAGCCTCCTACCGACAAATTAGAGAAAGATCTATCGCTGCTCCTATTGCAAACCCGCTCACCCCTGCTCTGAAGGAGGCTGGAACACCGGGTCAGGTGGTCCTAGCTGGCTCTTTTTCCCTCAGGGTGACCTTCCTCGCAGGATCCCCTCAGTCCCTGTGCAAATGAACTCAGTCACTGGGGTCCCCCTCACTCAGTCTGCCTAGATATATCTCAGTCTTTTTTTGAGATGGAGTTTCACTCTTGTTGCCCAGGCTGGAGAGATCTCGGCCACTGTAGCCTCTGCCTCCTGGGTTCAAGCAATTACCCTGCCTCAGCCTCCCAAGCAGCTGGGATTACAGACGCGCACCACCACGCCTGGATATATATATATATATTTTTTTTTTTTTTTTTTTTTCCTTAAGTAGTCTTACTGTCACCCAGGCTGGAGTGCAGTGGTACGATCACAGCTTACTGCAACTCCACCTCCTGGGTTCAAGCAATTCTCCTGCCTTAGCCTCCTGAGTAGTTGGGACTACAGGCGTGTGCCATCATGCCCAGCTAATTTTTGTATTTTTAGAAAAGTCAGGGTTTCTCAATGTTGGCCAGGCTGGTCTCGAACTCCTGACCTCAGGTGATCCGCCCACTTCAGTCTCCCAAAGTGCTGGGATTACAGGTGTGAGGCACCACGCCCCACCAAATCTCAGTCTTAAAGCAACGTGCCCCCCAAGGAAGAATTGTCCAGTTAACAGAGGAATCTGAGGAGGGTGCAGACTGTCTGAAAGAATGGTAGTGAGTACAGTGACTGGGGGACCAAGCAGAGGCCGGCTAGACCAGAGCTTCTGCGGCTCAGAGTCAGTCCAGGAGTTTGCCCTCTACCTCGCCCCTATCACTGGCTCCTGTCCCTGAGAGGGCACTGCCACCAGAGGTAGCCATGTCCTGAGCCAAGCTCCCCATTCCTTAGTGATCCCCCTCAAAATTAGTCCCGAGACCCTGCACTCTGTCCGCCCCTCTGTCCATCCTGCAATGGGTGGGAGGGGTTGGGGGCCCATCACCCCACCATGACATAACACCAGGCTCCGGGAGCCCTCTGGAGTACAGCTGGGATGCAGCCTCTCAGGCAGTGCAGCGGGGTGGGGGAGCACTTTTGGGCAAGGAGCCCACTTCCACTGATAAGGGAAGCAGCCTCTGCTCTGCATTGAGGGACCTGTACTCTCCCTGTGGGCCCTGCTGCCCTGCGGGTTTTTCTGGGTTAAGATAACGTGGTGGTGTAGGTGATACTCAACAGGTCCCCCCAGGCCTTCACCTCTTCACCTTATACTTCCCCCTCCACCCCAGGCCAGTATTACAATCATCACAGGGCTTGGGAAAGGGAAAGGGGATGAGGCCAGATGCTGGCTCACGGAACCAGAAGAAAATCCCAGCTCACCCACTAACTTCGGGCCAGTGGCATAAACTTTCTGAGCCTAGATTTCCTCGTCTCCCAACTGGGGATGATGATCATCTTACCTTACAGGTTGGGTGGGAGGTTTAATGAGATGATGTGTGTCAAGTGCCCCAACTCACACCTGGAGAACTCACACACAGGCACCGCCCGATCACACCAGGCCACATCCGCCCATTCGCCTGCGCCCGCTGAGAGCTGGCACTCATGTCTGTTCCCGGCTTTCCCACACACCTGAGACTCATGTTCACAATGCAGGCCCACGCTGCTCCCAGCCCCACCGGCCCACTGGCACTTTCAGCTGGGCCACGCAGGAACCTCACCTCTTGTAGACCCCATGCCATCACCACAGGAGACCCAGAGGACACGAGGGGGTGGGGCAGGATTTGGGAATGGGTGTAGGCAGGGCCCAGGGCTGATATGAGGTCAGGGTGCCACACACACACACACACACACACACACACACACACACACACACACAAACACACCAGGATCCTGAGAAAGGTGGTCTCAGGGCTAGGAGGGCCCCACCATGTGTGTGGCATGTGCGGCTGTGCACACACCAGGCCCACACACCAGCCAGCATTTCCCCAAACCCTGCGCACTCTCACTGGGGTCTTGCCAGGGCCTGGGCTCAGCCTACTTCCTTCCACTGCTCCCCCCACCCAGAAGGTAGGGAGGGCTGGGGGTGCTAGCGTGCCAGGGAACAATGGGCCCCCAACTCCTTCCCGCCCATTGCGTGAGAAGGAGCTGCTGGAAGGAAACTCACTCCCAGTGGGACAGGCCACCACCCCCCAGATGCCTGCCCCGGGGAAGCCTGGAGACCCTCATGCTGCTCAAGGGGCAGCCTCTGTGCGCTCCAGGCCTGTCACCCTTGGGACATCCTGTTTCTACCACCTGGACTGGCTTCCCCCACCCCCTCTTTCAGGGAAGACGGTCCTGGGGCTGGGCTGGGTGCCCCCCTCAAGAGTCCAGGGCCTTGTACCCATTCATCTCTGTGTTCCCCGTGTGTAGTCTGTTCCAGAGTTGTCTTGAGGAATGCTGGCCAACTGCCTGAGAGGCTAAGAGAAAGCAGCCAGCCCAGGGACGCAGGGACCCAGCAGCTGAGCCAGAAAACATGAGAGAGAGAAGGGCCCAGCTCAGAGCGGCTGAAACACCTGTGCTGCAGTTAGGGGTGAGGTCCCAGAAATGCCTCCGGAGAGCACAGGGCATGGTGTTGAGGGGCGGGGGATGCTCTCCCCCCAAAGTTTTGGAACACTCAGCGCAGTTTCATTTGTGTCCTGACACTTCCCTTACAGCCCCGCCTTCTTCTCTCTCTGTCTCACACACGTCACTCTCATTCCAGGGGGGCTCAGCAGTTCCACCATCAGATGGGGTCTCTCAGAGGCAGGGGTCGGGGTCGGGGACAAGGGCAGGAGGACATAGGAACGGCTCTCCCACCGTGCCTATCCACACCTAGCAGGATAGCTCAGAGGCTCCCCCCAAGGCTGGTGCTGACTGGAGACCCTGGACATCAATATCCCCAGCTAGAAAACATGGGGAGTTGGGGGGTCTGGCTGAAACTGGCCCTGCCCTGGGTCCTGCCGGCCTGGGGTGTGTCGTGGAGGCACTGGCCCAGAGCGAAGCCTGTCGGGTGTACAGGTGGTCGCTGAAATCTGCCCAATCGTGCTCAGACACTTGTTTTGTCACTGTGGTCCCCAAAACTCTAGGCAGGGCCTCAGCTCCTCCTGTCCAAGGAGGCAGTGTTGCCAGTCCAAGACACCCAGAGCTCAGATGAACACATGGCCCGCTGGCAGGCGCAGAAGCATGCTTCTCAAACCTGCCTGATTACCCAGCCAGCCACGCCCCCACTCCAGCCCCCACCTTGGAGGAAGCACTAATCTGGGGACTTTGAGATTCCACGATTCTCACGGCAAGAAGGACTCGCAGACACGCAAGTCAGCGGCTCCCTTAGCCCTGAGGGCACAAGAGATACAGGCACACCTGTAAACACACGCCTGGCTACAAACACACACATACCTGGCTGGCGTGCTTAGCCACCTGAACTCACACCTGGAGAACTCACGCACAGGCATGGCCGGACCACTCCAGGCCACATCTGCCCATGCGCCTGCGCCCGCTGAGAGCTGGCACTCATGTCTGTTCCCG